TATTTTTCTCCGTAACATTTATCATCATCTCACATACCATATATTTCACATACTTAGCATACTATTTATATTCTGCTACTGGACGTTTCACCCCAGGAGAGAGAGCAGGGATTTTGGCCTGTTATGGGCACTGCTATGTTCCCAGTACTGATAAAATTACTGGGCACATGTGCTGAACTAGTAATTCTTGAATGTTTTTGTCGTTAACTACTATGTGATGTTTTTTACATAGTTTTGAATATAGAGATTGCTTTCACACTGATGGTACCTAGGATACAGATTTCTAGTGGATAATGAAGGTGAAACAAACAAAATAAATAAATAAAATAAACAAAAAAAGCAAACTATAATTCCAAACTGAAATAAAAAGAGACCTTATTACAAATACTTGGTAAGATTTAAAGAATACATAGACTATCTGCCTTTGAAAAAAAGGAAAGAAAAATTTAAGGAAGGATGAGGAAGGATGGGAAGAGGGAGGAAACCAGGTATGCATGTATATGTGTCTTTTAAAAAAAATTTGCATCTATTTACCAATTTTTTCTGATCAGTTCTCAGCCCAACTATGCAAATAATAGTAGGTTCCAAAGAATGACTCAGAAGATTCACATCAAAAACTGTATGTACTTATATTTCCCATTAAGCAAGATCGACTGCAGACTCTAGGGAGTCCATGCCACCTCTGAGATTTGGAGGACAAAAGAAACTGCTGATAAATATCAAAACATGTTTCTTAACTAGGAAAATGTCCTGCTTTTAAAGCAGTAAAAAATGAACGCTAGTAATTTTTAATAGTTTCTGCTAAAGAGAAGAACAATGTTAACAAACATTACTATTTAAAAGATGGGAACTTGGGATTGAAAAATGAGAAAAAAATATAAATATAAGTTCTGGTTACATTTATAGAACATGAAGGCAGTTGTTCTTAAGCTATTTGAGGTCACATTCTACTCTCAGATTCTCATGAAAACACAGACCTCTCTTTGGAGCCATATAATTTTTTTATTCGTTCATGGATTACCCTCCTAAAACTTCCCCTGTCCCCATTCCACCACTAGAGTTAAGAACTTATGCAATTCACATGTACTCGGATGGTTATAATCAAAAAGAGAAAATAACAGTGCTGCCGTAGATGTGGAAAAATTGGAACCCTCACATATTGCTGGTGGAAATGTAAAATGGTGTGGTCACTTTGGAAAACAGTTTGACTGTTCCTCCTTTAACATAGAGTTAGAATATTTTCTACTGCTTTTTTCTTCTCTCAATATGATAATTTTTAAATCACAGTCTCCTCTGAAAACCAAATGACCTCAAAGTAAATTATGTTTGTATTTGACCTGGCTATAGGAGTACAAAATAATCACCACACAGCCATTTGAGCTCAATCTCACAAAAAGGAGAAATTTAGAAAAAATTGTTATACTTTATACCATTCCTGAAATACAGTACCATAAATCAATAAATATAAACCAAATAATATATCTTGACTTCTAACACCAAATAATGTCAGTTTCGCAATCACATTATTTTGGCGAATGAGAGCATGAGTTTCTGAATCAGGAAGACCTAACTTTGAATTCAGGAGCCCCTCAATTATTATTGTGTAATTTTGTGAAAGTCATTTAATGCTTCCTGTGCCACATTTTCTCTAAGTTAAGAATAGCAATAACTTATATCATAAGGTTGTTTTGAATATTAAGAATTTATGCAGAATGCTTTGCACAATTATGGCCACAGTGCCTAATGAACATATTTATTCTTCATAATAAATCACTGTTATTCCTTTTTTTTTCTTGCGGTATGCGTGCCTCTCACCGTTGTGGCCTCTCCCACTGAGGAGCACAGGCTCTGGACGCGCAGGCCCAGCGGCCATGGCTCACGGGCCTAGCCGCTCCGCGCGGCATGTGGGATCTTCCTGGACTGGGGCACAAACCCGTGTTCCCTGCATCGGCAGGTGGACTCTCAACCACTGCGCCACCAGGGAAGCCCTATTCTTAATCATGGTGTTGAAGAAGCACTGGATGCACAACGGGACAGCAGCATTAGTGCCATTGGTGCTAGTTGTGTGACCTTGGTCCAGTCATTTCATCTCTCCAGATCTCAACTCACTCATCTTCATCTCTAAGGTCCCTCCTGGTAATATTATATCATGGTAGCTACTTAATATGCATATGTAACACAAACCTTATTTGTTATCTCTGGCATAAAACTTAAAGCCCTCTCCTAAATGAAGGTATGTATTATGCCTGCAATACGGTAATGCTATTTTTACTATGACATGTCAATATCTATCTTTTGATAGTCAACAAGGATTTTAATATAATCTAAAATTACAACTAAATAAAGAAAAATAAAATATATTTGACCCAATTTTTTTTTTTTGTTAAAATCCTTGAGACAAAAGAATAATGGGTTTTAGGAGATTCACATATTATTTAAAAAATCAGAGCAACTATCTTTTAATTGTTCACCTATAGATGAGTTATCATAGCTGACGGCTGACAGTCCAGATTTCACTTTTTTTTTTTTGTGGAATAAAAAGTGGGAAGCAAGAAATAAAAAGTAGATCTAGATAATTCATAAAATAGACACTGTATTTCTAAAAAATTAAAAGCTAAATGTGTTTAGATGGTCAAAATCAAACCTAGGAGAATCACTGCTTGTGCCCATAGAAAGGAAATTTTTTTTAAGAATCTTGTGATAACTAAATAATTATATTTTTTCAAATTTAATGCATAAAACATTTCAAATGTATTTCATACCTATGTCATAGGTAGCTCAGAATGTGCTCTGAACATAGAAATAATAGGCAACATAAGCCTTTAAAATTCAAATAGACTAAAGTTTAAGGTATTATTCACTATAGAATTTCATAGAATAATGACCTACAATAAAAGGAATAGAAATAATGCTGTGTTATAGTGAGCACAGCATTTCTGCTTCACCAATATTCTGTTTGTATTTGGTCTTATCAGATGTTTAGTCAATAGCTGAAACATTTATTCATAGCCAGTCAATTACAACACCAGGAAATCAGCTACTGAATAAACTGTGCTATTAATTTTCCATCAGAGATACATGTTTGAATGACCATGCCTTTCATAGATTTAAATACTGAAAGGCTAATTATCTCCAAGGCCCCATTAAAGGGATAGCATAGATTACAATAAAAAACAATCTTAATATTGCTCAAAAATGATCCTCAGGGGCTTCCCTGGTGGCGCAGTGGTTGAGAGTCCGCCTGCCGATGCAGGGAACACGGGTTCGTGCCCCGGTCCGGGAAGATCCCACATGCCGCGGAGCGACTGGTCCCCTGAGCCATGGCCACTGAGCCTGCGGGTCCGGAGCCTGTGCTCCGCAACAGGAGAGGCCACAACAGTGAGAGGCCCACATACCGCGAAAAAAAAAAAAAAAAAATGATCCTCCACTTTCAATGCTGAAGAGTACTTCATTTCTCTGTCTATGGCACACACTAAGCAATATATATACATAAACCCCCCCTCAAGCAATTTCTTTCCCAAAACCTTAGAAAAATAAACCTGAACAGCTTCTTAAATACAAAGATTCATTAATTTATAAAGTTAAATGCAAATTAAAACCTTTTCTTCCTAATCTCTGTTCAATGTTCAAATTATTATTTTTTTCCTTTTAAATGACTGTCTCACAAAATGCCCTTATTGTGAATAAACTGATACTGTGTATTTTCTGGACTACTAATCTGAGAACCAGTGATTTGGGTCTTGAAGGTATCTCTCTTCATAAATGTAGTTGGCCTTCCCCTTAAAAATGCTATGATATATACACATAGGGAGTAAAGTTGACAGTCACACAGTTTCATATTTTTTCTTACTTCTGATAAAGTTACTTTGTATTTTGGGACCCACAAAATGGGGGCCACCCTAGTGGCCTGGTCCACATCACAAATCTAAATCTGTACTTATGGGAAATGACTGTCAAGGAAACCTCACATACACTGATCACAATCCTCCAACTCAGAGTTAGCTAGCTCACCTTACCCTAGAAAACAGGACCTGCTAGCCTTATAAGGAAATCCCCAACCTCCTTGCCAATCGCGCCCTGTTTAGAGTTGTCTCTATAAAACTCACTCCTGTCCAACATCCCTCAGGGAGAGTGCACCACTGATGGTGAGGCACTTACTGCCTCAACCCATGGATTGTTTTTCCTTGAATATAGCACATCAAAGTCATTACTAAATAGCTTTGTGGTTTGAATTTGTCATTTGACCTTGCCTGCCTTTGTTCCTACCTCCTCCCTCCCCTCCCCTCCCCTCCCTTCCCCTCCCCTCCCCTCCCCTTCCCTTCTCTCCTCTCCTCTCCTCTCCTCTTCTCCCCTCCCCTCCCTTCTTTCCCTTATTCTAAAAATAACTATGAAGCTTGCTTCTGGGATTCTTTTTCACAAAGAACTCATAAACAGTAGAAATGTTTTTTATCTTGCTTAGAAACAAATTACAACTGGAGGAAAAATTACACTTACATTCAGATTCATGTGTTTATAATAAGTGGAAGAGTAAGATCGTCACAGCTTGTCTTGATTAATTTGGCACAGAAGCATGATATTCCAAGTATCCTGGAATTGTTGTCTTATTTGATTGAGTGTCATTTCTGGATGACTTGCTACTCAAATATTAGCTAGACCAACATAGGAATGAAATGTTTTCATACCCACCTCTCTGAAGAAATTAGAGATTTATTATATATTACACCCAACTCACCTTTCAGTGATGATCAAAATTCTCACACCCAAAGTTGCACCTCTATGCTAGTCTGTGCTTCTCTTGTATGATAGAGCACTGGCACTGTCAAATTTCTTTTTAGCACATACGCTTTCATATAACTTTCCATTCCCACCCTCCATGCCCTCCCTGAAATTCTTCTAGCTCAACAGGATACATTATCATCTTTCTATCGGATGCCCATACATGCTATCACCAACAGAGACAATTCAACAACTTAACACATTTATAAAAACGCAGAAAGTACCTGGACATAGGCTCTGCAAGAGCGCTCTCTTTTCTGAAGCTGAATCCATTAAGACAGCAGATTAAACACAGAATAGAAAAAACAAGTTAGTGACAGAAGAAAACACGAAAAATAAAAGAACACATCTACACAAACACCTTATTTTGTTGTGCACTACTTTCAAGAAGAGAATGAAAGCTAAGCAGCAGCAAAATGTCAGCAACAGCTTGAAAAATAGTAACTAACAGCTTTTCAGAACCCAAGTGATAACTGGATGGTATAAAGCTGTTAATGATGGAAAGAAATCTTAGACTAAATTTAGTAGAAATTAGTAAAAATCAATATACTTCATTCATTTGACATGATTCATTTGACATGACGTTAGTTATTAATTCATGGGCCACAAATGAAGATCTATGAAGTTAAGTAAATTATGTCAAAAATTTGGAACCCATTTTTTAAAGATAGTAAATTGTCTGTGGTTTACAGATTTTTAGGTGGTTAATGTGTCCCACAAACCATTTGTTCATACATACAAAAAGTTCTATTTATTGAGAAAATAGAAATGCCCATTCATTTGACTATTTGATTCTAAGGGACAAATACCAAGAGATAAGTAACTTCTGATTAAAAGAATGCAATCGATATTGTGATTTATCTTGTTTTTATTTCTTGAAGAATTCCTTTTGATGGTTTTGACTAAAAGTTTTATACATTTTAGAAACTTCTGTGGGATAAGAAGCCTGTTTCTGTGTGTTTCTTTGTTTTCATACAGAATGATGTTTTTCTGGGCAAAAGGTTAACAGCAACTCATACTCAGTCCCAAACATTTTTTCCTGGTGATAAAATGAATAATTAATACATATATTTGCTCTGTTTAAATAAATGACTACAAATTTTATAAATTAGGTTGTAGTTTTCCTCCTTTTCCCTATTATTTTCCTTCAGGAGCCTCGATTGTTCAAGGAGAAAATTACCCAGTTTTAAGAAGCAGTTACTCTGATGCCTTTTGTGTGGCTAATACTCTCCCACTTTAATTCATGCATTCTTCAATGAGCATAGAGCAGTTACTCCTCTAAAGAATTAAGTGAGGAATGAGTGCAAGTAAATTGTCAGCACTGTCATTTGGGTCACTGACTCTCATTTTGGTTTAGCAGGTCTCTAAACCCTCCAGAATTTCAATGTGGAGCGCAATTGATTTGTACCAAGTTGACTTTGCAAATCTGATGGGTTAAAACTGCTTCAGGGAACAGTGGGAACCACAGGAAATGAGAGCCAGCCAGGAAGCATGTGAATAACCTCTGCCCTCCCATCTTCTTACCCCATCATGCAAATTAACATATAACAAACCACGTTATATAAACAGCTGAAAAGAGCCAAATAAGAAACAAAAGAGAGCATTAAAAAGCTTCACAAATGAAAATTTGTCCATTATGCAGTTATTTGATATTCAGACTAGGCAAGCTGATTAGCTGTAGCTAGTTAGAATGTGACATTAATTGCCAGGTTTACCCGATATTGTCAGACATCGACACCATTTTTAAATAAAGATACAAAGTATTGCTATAACAAGTAATGGTATGGATACGTAACATTAATAGAAATTACTATATCCAGTACATTATGATAACAATAGCTGGCAGCAATATTCATTAATAGCCTCCAGTCAGCCTGGGTAATAACACATTAAAATCACAGCATGCCCAGACTACATAGGCAGCTGTGGATTATATTCTGCCAGCGGCTTGGTTGAGATTCTATCAGGAATATGAATGACAAAAATAACTCCTTTTTGCTCAGCATGAAAAAAACTTTAGTAATAATTTATATATAATTGATAAAACTGAATCTATTTTCTGAGGATGAAATTGCAGGAAAAACCGACAGATAAAATATCTAGCTTTTTAATGTCGAACCATTATTATTTAAAAAAGTTTCTTCCATCTCATGAGTGAGACTCCTAGTCTAATAAGACAGAAAAGAAATAAACATAATAAAGACCAGTCTGCAAAGTTATTTTTTCATTCTAAAGGGGAATGTTCATTTAGTGAATTTCATACAGGACATTAGAGGGTCACTGCCAAATTCTTGCTTTTTTAAGTAATAAGATTATCACTGATATTTGAGACCTTAAAATCAAGTTTCAATAACCGATTATCTTTACTACAAAAATGCCATTCAGGGAATACATGTTATCTGATGGCAGCATTCTAGTATCTTTTTACCATGTGATATTTTGTTACATAAATAAATGATATTCTTTATAAATATATTAAATATATTTTACATACTTATGTAAATAAAATGCTTATATGTGTATAGGTTATATATAAAATGCTTATATATGAGTATATAATGTATATAAATATATAGTAGATTTATAAATATAAATTAAAATACATAAAATTCCTTAAAATTTAAAAAATAAATTATTTTTATTAGTTACAATTCAAAGTTGCTGAAACACATTTAAACCTTTTAAGTTATAATGGTAATGATACAAAATCAGTAATTTAAAAATCAAAAGGAAATAAAAATTAAAACAAATACTTGCCCTATGAGGTTTTTAATGTAATATTAATTAGGTTAAATTATTTTAAAAAAATCTATAATGTATTACTAATATCCTTTTTCATTGTTATTTTCTAAATTTCTGCTTGTTGATTAGACATTTGTTTTACTGTTAATTATATTAATATAAAGGTTTGAAAGGGGGAAAAAAACCCAAAAGAAATGGCATTTATCTATAGTAACCCTGCCCGAATTTAGCATACAAAAGAGTACTATGGAAAATAGAATTGTAATTTCAAAATACATATAGAGAGATCTCATTTATTGTTCCTTAGATTGAAAGTCAAATAAGGTCATTATTATACTGCAGTAGTGAAGTGAATTGAATATAGCTAGCAATTCTCTTTAGAATGATCTGATTTTATGGAAAGAAAGAAATTAATCAGGGAAGTCTTACTGATTTTACAACTTTAAAGATACATGTAACAAAGGTCCTTACCTTGTTCAAACTTCGTGCAGCACTATCTTTTCCACCTGGGGTCAAGTTCCGGAGCTGTACATCTAGGAGGCCTACCAGCTGATCCATGGCCCGGACTGAATAAGTGATATCTCCAGCGTTCAAGTGATTTCTTGTCTGTTCAGCCAGTTCTCTAGCAATGTTGGCAGCTGTCTCTCCAGATTTCAACTACAATTTTGAAAACAGAACAAAAAGGAAAGAGATCTTAAATAAGTAATTTTATTGGTTTCTTTGGACAATTGTTTTTGCATATGTTTTAATCATTGAGGCAAGAAAGTTATTAAATCCCATCTTTACTTGGTATACATTCCTTAAGTTTCCCTGCTAATCCATTATTTTCTTCAATACCTAACTTGAAATTCATGCCTTTAGGAAGCTCCTCCTGAGGAATCTAACTTCTAGAAATTGTTCTTAGTTTACCCATCTGGGTGGTTAAGTCTAAGGTTTGCCCCATGACTTTTCTCTATGCGTTTCTAAATTGGATGCTGACAGAGGCCAGTACAAATTTTCCATTATGCCTAGTTTAGCACTTAGTTCACAATGAATACTCACTGGCTGCTAAACTCTGTGAAAATTTAATTCCAAATAAAATCCCTGCTTTTCAAAGTGCTGTTCATCTTCTTACTAAGTAAGAGATTTTGTTCCCAATGTATTAGGTAGCAAACTATTGGTTAGTTTCTAGCACTTTCCTTTTCTGAAAGTATGTGCTGCTTTTTCAAGTATATTCTACAAGAATTTTTCAAATTGTCAACAATCCAAAGATGTTAAAAGAGATAGACTAATACCCTATGATTACTTGAGCAAATTTGATAGCTCTGGGTAATAAGACAGGAATATATATTAGCTTATAAGGAAGGCCTGGGGAACTTAAAAAGAAAAGTAAGTGTAATTTCCCAATTTATCATGTCCTTTATCATTTTTAAACTAATAGACTAAAATAAGATTATAAAACATTTACACAATACAGATATAGGTATGCAATGCAAAAATCATGAATGTCTCTTCTTTTGCCTCTATATATTCCCACTTCCCAGAGATTGTTAATGGTTTGGCATGGATCTTTCCTGACTTTAGCCTGCTCTATTACTACTTAAATATATAATAGTGTCATTATTTAGAAAATTTTCTTTTCTTCTCTTTTTCTACTTTTAACACAGTCTAATACAGAACTTAGGATCCCGAACAGAAAGGTCCTCTCTTTGTAAGGCTATCTTCCTAATGGATATCCAGAAAGCTATAAGGGGCACAACAAAACCTCTTAGTCAAATAGGTTATCACTATCTATTCAGGGATGCTTAATAAATGTTTGTAGCAGTATTGAGTGTTAAAGAAACATGAATAAATTGGAGAAATTGGAATAACTAAATTGCTAACAATCACATTCTCAAGTATATAGAAAAATCCTAATTCAAAAACATAAAAATAGTTTAAGAACAAAGTGTTGGCAAAGATTTGTAAAAATGTATATGACCATCATAAACTACTACTGAATGTGTATATTTGCATACTTCCTATGTAGAGTAAATTACTAGTGTCTATTAAACTCTGAAATGTGAAGACTGTATAAGACAGAGATTTCTCTTATCACTATCAACCATAAAAAAATAATCCCACTGTTATGAAAGAGATATGTTCAAAGATGTTCATTCTAGCTTGCTTATAATAGAAAACAAAATGGGCTATGACTGTGGAAAACTGCTTATGTATATAAATACTATGGAATATTAACCAACAGTTTAAAAGTATGAAGGAGAACAATATTGTTAACGTTAATCTTCAACATGTAATATTGAGTTAAAATAAATGCAAGTATAAAAATTATTTATATGCTAATATATATAGGTATGTTATTAGTGAAATATAAACACACAACTTGAGTAGCATATAAACATGTTACCTATGAAAAATAAATATTATATGTAAATATTTTACATTTATATATATGTGTATATGTTTAAACTCATAGAACAAAATCTGAAAGATGGAAATCAAAAAACAAATCCTTTTCTGCAATGTTTAAATTTTACAAGAAGAATATTAATGTATTACAAGAAGAATATGTTAAAGTATTATTATATAGTTAATTGATACTTTTTAGAAACGCTTAAAATAAAAAAAACACTTGCACTAAATTTTTGAATTTGTAAATTATGGTCAGGACCTGAAAACCTGAGATACTTGTAAGACCAAATGGAATAGATTGTAAGGTTCAAGGATAAGTGTGTAACAAAGTCAATGTAGACCCACTGATGGATCATGAAAGTACTTTTAAGTGGTCACAAAGTGACGTAAATGTGATTATAATCCATACATTTAATCATTACATATAATTTAGGGCTACTTACTGGTAATCTACTAAATCAATTAATGATTTATAAAATTCAGTATTCGTTAATTAAATTGGTGAAATGCTAGTACTCATGAAGTATTCAAATTCAATATTCCATCAGTAAGTCTGAACACCTGATACAATTGCTTGACAATGTTGCAAAACTCCTGTGCACGTGAGTATCCAGATAGCTGGAATTCCTATAATTTTCCAAAGGGGTATTCTTTTAATCAATGCACCACTCATAGAGTCTTTTTTTTTTTTATAGAAAGGCAGACTGCCACATACAGCACTTCATTTGGATATGTCTAGAGTCTTGGAAGCTTGACTACCCTATGTTCTCCTACAAATGGACCTTGAGAGCTTGATTGGAGGTTCTAGCAGGGGAGCATACCTACTCATATACCCTTGACTGAAGAATGGTCCTCCTCTATTGGGAAAGGTCATCCTCTTCAACCAAGCGAGCAGCTTTGGAAGGGATGCACGTGGAGCGGTGAGGGAGGAAGGGGACAACTGCCTAGCCAGCCAGATCAGCCGAATCAACCCTGGAGATCAATGGGGTGACAGATGCCACATCCACCATCCATAGAGTCTTGCATTTGTTGTAGTTTCCCACCTATGCTATTCTTATAAAAATGAATCTATTTGTGGAATTACTATTGTTTTACTTTGTTAAGCATTATGCACTTGTATAATTGTTTTATTATCATTATTACTGTATTGTTTTTCTTCTATGCCTTTATTACCACATAATATTTTTTCTATGAGAAAATGTCAAGGCACATGGACCTCTGGAGTCTTTTGATTCACTTAAATGGGTGCTGTTGGAAAAAGGCTGAGATCTACGAGATAATAGGCTTTCTTTCACACATTATCTTCAAAACTAAAGATGCAAGTACTGACTTTCATTACAGCTATCAGGGAACATTATAAAAAACAAAATTACTTATCAAACAGAAAAAAATAGGTATTTTCACATTGTAATTCAATTTCTTTTCTTTTTCTGTGTAGTTGTACAAACATAGTCTTCAATTATTAATTATTATAACATTGGGGTAGGACATGATAAGATGAAAAAGGAGGCCTATGCAACTCCCTAATATAAAAATTTAAACTTTTTCTTTATGAACAGTAATGAAAAAGTTGAAAATGTAAATGACTAATAAGTCAAAATATTACTGCTCTCAACATAAAAGATAATGATGCTGCCGATATATGTGTCAAAGCAGATAGTGTAGTGTTGTAAAACCATGAGTCAAATATGAACATCTCTAGTGGATTATCCTAAAAATAGTAACTACATTTTAGCACTCAAGTGTTTATTTATGAAGAATAAATCTAATTAACCCCACAAAAGAACTGTGGAACTCAATGTTCACCAACAAGGAAGTTGTAAGAAAAAAACTAAAGTACAAATAAGTTATAAAAATGTTTATAATAAAAATGTGATAAGCATGTTTTTAAAGTAAAATAAAAACTAATATAACCAGTTATTCATTACGGTCCTCTCTTCCTCTTAAAATTGAAGAATTCATAGTAAAATTCTTTCATTCATTCAACAATCATTTGGACACTGGTTATTTCTTAAGGAAATAAAGACAAATGTTATATGTGGCTCTTGCGCTCAGGAATCTCACGTTCTACTAGTTGGTATTGCGGGGGAGGGTGCATAAAGGCAGATAATACTAATTCAACAATGCAATCATAATAACAGAATGTATATGAGGTGTTATTGGAATATAGTACAGGGGTAATAAACACCTGGAAATTAGGTGGGAAAGCAACAGAAAGTAACAATAAGTTGAAAGTTAAAAGATAAGTTGAGGGTGACTTGGTAAGATAAAATTCTGGTGGGGACTGGCAGGGAGAGACAGCCAAGAGGATGCTATATAAAAAGCGAAGTCTAAATAATCATGGTTTGGGAAGACAGGGCACTAAAGGCAGAACAGAAAGAAAAAGCACATTTTTCTATCTTCAGAATTCAATTTGGTACCTACATAGCACAAATTGTGTGTCTGTACGTATTAAATATATATATCTAGTTTTTAAAAAATAGAATATCTCTACCTCTACTTATAATTTCAACAATTGTTCCTTCAGTCTAAATGTTCATTTGTTATTTAACCAAAATTTGAATTTCTAATAGTATTATGCTAAAGTCTGGGGATAAAATGGTTCCCAATAACAGGACCTTACGTACTAGAAAGCGAAGAGCTATTAATAAATTAACTGCACAAGAATTTGATTTCAGTTTTTTTTGAGGGCAATACAGAATCCCAGTGCGGTAGAGTAGTTTAAAGGCATTTTAACCTGGTATATGAAGTTAGGGAATAATTTAGGAAATACTTCTCTGAGAAAGAATGTGTAATCTGAGATGAAATAGAAAAGAGGGAATTAGGTTGGGATGAGGGCTGGAGTTTCTGGGCAGAGAGAGCAGCTTTTAGGAGAGGGGGCGGGGGGCAGGGAGTCTTAAGGGTGCTGCACAAAGGGCACTTGTCACTGGGGTTTAGGCAGCTGGAGAGGTAAGCAAGGAGCAGATTGAGTAGTCTCACTTTGGAAGTCATGACGACGATTTTGGAAAATTGTGTTAAGAGTGATGTGAATGGGGCTTCCCTGGTGGCACAGTGGTTGAGAGTCCGCCTGCCGATGCAGGGACGCGGGTTCGTGTCCCGGTCCGGGAAGATCCCACATGCCGCGGAGCGGCTGGGCCCGTGAGCCATGGCCGTTGAGCCTGCGCGTCCGGAGCCCGTGCTCTGCAACGGGAGAGGCAACAACAGAGAACCCAAAAAACACAAAAAAAAAAAAAAAAAAAAAAAAAGAGTGATGTGAATGTACTGAA